TCGATAATGGGTTTTGAGGTAATGTGCAAGCCAGGCGTAACCATAATGGATGGGAAAACAAACTTTGACCTTATCAAGTTAGGAAGAACACGAAATCTTATTCAAACCATGATAAATACTCGTCAAAACTGGAACCGCAAGGCTAATCGCCCGCTTGCCGTTATGCTTTTCATCTTAAAAGTCTTGGGACGAATGAAGTTCTTTGCCTTATAGGGAAACACAAAAGCACATAGCCAAATTGATAAGAAGTCTGCTATATATGTTTATCTTTCTTGTCAAACCTCACCCTAAGCATGGAGAATATAGCTTCTTGATCACTCGACCACCTAGTTGTCTCGGGGATGACTCCGTTAGGATTATGAGTCGACTTTAGGCGCGCGGATTTCTTTTCCTTTTGCAGTGAGGCAAGGTTATATATTAAGGCTTTTTTATACCAAAAATTTGTCCACTTGCTCAAGGAGACCTTTTGGCTAACGCACGTACCTTCCTTAAGGTGATGGAAAGCAGCAAATAAATACTCGCAAGATCGAGGAATAAATCTCATCTATTTTTCGTCCAAACCGATGATTTCTTCGTACGGAGAACCCGCAATGGGCAGACCTCCAAGGATATGTAAGTCCAAAAGAGAGATAGATAGTTCCCCAGCTGATGTAAGAAGCGTGTTCGTCTTGGGGCACCAAGCCTCACAAAATGCTTGCAAAATGTTCGAGTTTCGATCATAAGTGAAAAGTAAGGCATAGACAGCATCATAAATCTTTGTTGTACTCAGGTTTTGTTGGCTTCTACCAAGTACATCTTCAGCCCATTCCCAATATCCTGGAATATGACGATACTCGCCCTCAATTGTTGTTATGTTACCCCAACGTACTTCGCCTTAAATTATGCGACGCCCTAAGTTTGGAAGGGTGCTAGCGATGTTTATGTGGCGATGGTTTGGCGCTTGGAGAGACAACATCTTGGACAAGGGATTAGAAGTAGACTTGTGCTCCAAGGTCCAGTTTTTTACATGATGGGAGTTCCTCAAAGAAGGCCATGAGGCTGCATACCGGCCAACATGTGGGATGTGAACCAAAAGCTTGGTTTGTTCTATGCTATCTTCAGTCTCGATTACGAGATATCTAAGTTTGGAGTAAGGTGGGGTATAGTCTCTGAAATTTGCAATCTCTTCGGGCTGCAAAGAAGAAGAAAAAGTCATCAAAGTCCAAATTAAGAATATTAGAATGGGCACAAAGGTCTAAATGGATAAAATGGCCTCCAATATTCGGGCCACGTTGAGAGTAATCTCTCATAGTCGGGCCACCTTGAGAGTAATCTCTCAGATAGTCGGGTCATTTTGAGAGTAATCTCTCTGATAGTCGAGCCATATTGAGAGTAATCTCTCTGATAGTCGGGCCACCTTGAGAGTAATCTCTCCGATAGTCGGGTTATTTTGAGAGTAATATATCCGATAGTCGGGCCACATTGAGAGTAATCTCTCCGATAGTCGGGCCACCTTGAGAGTAATCTCTCTAATAGCCGGATCATTTTGAGAGTAATCTCTCCGATAGTCGAGCCACATTAAGATTAATCTCTCCTATAGCCGGGCCACCTTGAGAGTAATCTCTCCGATAGTCGGGTCATTTTGAGAGTAATCTCTCCGATAGTCGAGCCACTAAGAGTAATCTCTCCAATAGTCGGGTCATTTTGAGAGTAATCTCTCCGATAGTCAAGCCAAATTGAGAGTAATCTCTCCGATATTCAGGCAAGGATGAGTACCCATCCCCTCACACCCTAAGATTATCTTCTTCATGCATGGATCATCTCGTTAAACAAGAACGCATCCTTCTTGTTTGACAAAAAAAAACGACCAAAAAAGGAAAGCACAAGAAAAAAAAAAGAAATTACCTTCACGTTAGTACTCCCGAATCCACAAAAATAGACTCAAGTAGCTTGCAAATACTGCAAACTGATGCTCAACAAATACGAGCCCAGGACTTTTTATAGATCTCCACAGGCCGCTTACAATAGTATACTGCCGATGTGGGATTGAAATTATAAATTAACTCCTAAAAGGACTCTGATTTGTTTACGGCGGTGGAATGGGTAACTCCTAAAAGGACTCGATTATGCCCACTGTAGCTTTTATCCCATCAGAGAACAGTCTTATATATTATATTGTATAAGACAAAGCGTGGGTCTAATTGTTCAACAAAATTTGAAACAATGCAATGTTAATGACTATTGTAATGATTACTGGTATTGCTTTTCTTGTCACTAGCAATGTTTGGCATTTTTATGAATTCTAACGTGGACAAGCAAAGTTAATAATAAACATGGCATTGATTTGGGTCTTCTACGTTTCCATTTGATATGCTGCAAGACATTGATTTATTATCTCTTTTGGCATACATAAAGTGATTCGCACAATCAAGTTAATACTTCAACTCTAGTCTTTACAGATTTAATATATCCGACAAGACTTGAAGTAGAAAATATTTGTAGGTATATAAATTTTATTGGAATTAAACTCGTAAAATAATTTGGCATATATATATATATATATATATATATATATATATATATATATATAGTCCAAATAAATCTCATGGGCCAATATAATTAGATTAACTATAGAGAAACTTTCGAAAACCACTATGTTTTAGTGGTTATTAGCTAGTTGTAGCTACCATTTACTATATTACTTCCTATAGCTATGTTTTCAGATTTTTTAGAGTGTATTCGATGTATTTAAGCTACTGTATTCATGAATACAGTAGCATTTCTAGGCGTGAATCAGGGGATTACAGATAGGCAGATTTTTGTATTTGAGTGTATTCGACTGTATTCATGGCGTAAAACATGGGATTACAGCTGAACAGATTATTGTATTCGACTGTATTCACGGCGTGAAACAGGGGATTACACTGTTTTTAAACGGAAAGTGAATCAATTAACATAATAGACTCCTAATATGACTCAACAAACTCAATTATAACACACAAATTTTGTATTT